CTGTATATTTTCCTGTGACCTTTAACAAAATTTCTCCCCACCCTCTTTTCATAACTAATTCCTTTTGCCTACTTCACATAACCATTCAGGTTGGTCCACCAGCTCGAGATGTAGCCAGACATTTTGTGCAGAGATGGAACTTTATTAAAGATTCCAAGGCATACGGTCGTGAGAGTTTACCTTTCTTGGTGCCAAAAGGCGAATACGTTAGTACACGTGATGAGTCCAAGTTTAAAGGCTCATGTAGAGTACAGTTGCTCAGGAGCAGTTCTGCATGGAGTAGTGGGATCAAGCTTGAGGTATTGGATAGTACTTTGTGAAGAGCAAGCCGGATTAAACGACTTTAATTACTAATTGAATGGCTTTTGTAGAATTCTATTTATAACGCTTATTGTCATTTAATTCGAAATGCAAAACATTTTATATATATCGAGAACCAATTCTTTAGTAAGTTTTTCAGTCGGAACTTACGTTATAATACTTGACGAGAATACCATTAACAGTAACTATCTTTCGTCATTAGTAACTTCTTCAGAAAAAGACACCAACAGCGTTGTCAAGAATAGAATAGGCGCGGTAAGATTCAATAGCGTTTACCAAGACGTTGAAACGACTCGAACGTATTTCTTTGAGTAATTAATGCTTTACCAATTTTATATAGTTACTTTTCGAACGTATCAAAGAAGCGCACGAGAAAAATGAGAAATTTCGCGTTATTGTAGTGATGCCTCTATTACCAGCATTTGAAGCCGATTTAAACTCAAATGATGCTGGAACTATTCGGTAATTAACACTTTGTTTGAACCTCTCGTTCTTTTGCATGGTTATTTGATTAACTTTTCATTTCTCTGTGCAGCATGGTAATGCACTGGCAATACGTGTCAATATGCCGAGGAGGTAAATCCTTGCTGGAGAAGATAGCTGCAGAAGGCATAAACCCGGAAGATTACATTAGCTTTTTTGCTCTCCGGAGTTACGATCGAGTTAACCAAATAAGTAAGGACACCGATAGTAAGAAAACAGAGAATGGCGATGCAGACAGTACACTCGGTTCAACGGAAAGCACGATTCATGTCCCCGATTCGATTGCGCAATATGCGATGGACTATGCAGATGATGATAGTCATGAACGTAAGGACTCATTCTCGGATGAGAAATACGACCCTCATATAGAAAAAGGGTTGGGCGGAACTGAGCCTGTTCGCCCTACCGCTATGTTATCTACCGATCTCAAGCAAGCTTATGTTACCGAAGAATTATATGTGCATACAAAAGTATTGATTGTAGATGATAAATACGTCATTTGTGGATCAGGTGAGTGTGTTAATACCAGATATATACGCTTGCCCAACGATCATCCGTAATTAATTTCTGCTCTGTTTGCTACCCAAGCCAATTTAAATGATAGGTCTCAGTTAGGCAGCCGAGACTCTGAGGTTGCAATCCTTATCGAGGACACAAAGACTGTCAAATCAAGAATGAACGGTGAAGAGTATGATGCCGCCAAATTTGCATATACCTTGCGAGTAACGCTTTTCAAAGAACATCTGGGGCTTCTTCCACCACAACACCACAATACGATGGAACGGAGTAGTTTGCCTCCAATGAGCCGAGAAGAAATCGAGGCGTTCGCTCATGGTAAAGATGAGAGTGTGTCGCATATGTTCGATTATTCACCGGATGCACCAGATTCCAAGCATCCGACAAAAGAGGATTTGATAGTGATGGATCCATTATCGGACAAGTTCTACAATTATTGGCTGGAGACTGCACGGACCAATACTGAAACGTATAGGGCTGTGTTCAGATGCATTCCTGACGATAATGGTGAGTTATTTGAATGCTACGCAGAGTGATCGAGTGTTACTCAAGAGGGGTTTGGGTAAAATTAGTGGTTAATTTTGCGAATCATAAACCACGATGACTTTCAATGCATACTTTTAATTCATGCTTGTTTATGTAATTGCAGTTCGAACACTGGAACAATGTCGACAATTTGTTCCGGATCCTAAGACCGTTCCTGTTGGGCATGTTGCTAATACGCAGGCTTCTGCTGAAGATGTTAACGAGAAACTAAGAAAAATACGTGGACATTTAGTTGTATTTCCTACGCACTTCTTAGAAGAGGAAAACTTGCTTGGAAGTGTTATTGCAAGTGCTGTTACTCCAGCAGAAATTTTCACATAATGATGAGTACCAAAGATATATTATATATTATATACTCAGACAGTTAACAAGATCAAAAGGATTGCCGGGCATATATGTATTCGTAGACGTGTACGCAAGATTGCTCGATAAAACATAACTTAATAGATGCTGTTATTATTATTGTTGGCAGTAGAATTTTTTGTAGCATTAATGGACTAATTCGTGTGTTCTGCTATAATTGATAATAAATCATGTTAAAACAGAGGAAATGAATAGTTGTTATCCAGTAAGAGCCGATCCATAATACCCCCCAATAAAAAAATTAGTAGCAATCACCCGATGACAGGGAACTTCGGTTGATGAAAAAGGGTTATTTTTGGAATGCCGTTTATCATACTGATGTAAAGCCATTATCACATTTCGCGCGACATATAATATTTCAAGCGCGAAATCATACTTCCCGTATAATTTCGGCTACTTCATTTTTCACTTTTTGATGATGAAAGTGAGAATTTAGGCAATTACGAGAACACTTCATCTGTAAATAAAAGGGGTAAATATAAGCGTCGCTACATTCGAGTGAAAGACTCAGAGTTCTGGAAAAGATTTATAGCAAAGCTCAACAAGTAATAGATGCTGTGAGAATCCTTGTTGCAAAACGATCAGACACAAACACAACGTATTTCACTCGGGGATTAGTACAAGTTCTAATCAAACTTTCTGTTGGCCACTTGCAGCGCTTCTTTTTATTGACCAATTCTCCCTTCGTTCTATAAGCACTAAATTTGTATGCCTGCTAACGACCTTTATTCGGGTTGCAAGTTCATTTTTACAATCGATTTTAGGCTTAACATGCCAGTACTGATCGCGTGACTTGTTTATTAATTTGATGACAAGGAATTCCGTTTGCATCGCAGTTGCCTGACGCTGTCGCCGACATTGCAACCTCCATTTCTAAGACCCACACTTTTATGTCAAGAAATGAACAGTGTAACACTTTTATTTCCAAGGCTATGTTACATGCTAAATTTAACATATCTGCAAGAGGTGAAATAAAGAATGTCAGTATATTTTGGGAAAGGTGTGTTTGTTATAACTAATACAAATGGACTAATTTAGATTAGTATATAAAGTGTCGGGAATTACTGATTATTAAGGCACAGATTAAGATATATCGAGCAGTATTTATATCCGTTATTGTTGACTATTATAGCAAAAACCCTCGAACTTACAATAAGGCTGTATTATTAGTCCAACCAATCTCGCAGGTTCTTGGCGGTTTACATTCTCCGCATGCCCTTAGAAATTTTGAACCTTGATCGACAGTCATATGTATAGTAATAGCACAAACAGGATATCCCAATCTAGAAAAGCTTGCATCTCAATAGTTTTGTATTGTAACAGTCAAAAAATGATAGATATTAATATCCATCAACCTACAATATCACTAGCGATGAGCAAAATCATTGACGGCAGAAAGTAACATAAGTCAATTCTATATTTACAACAGAGTCTTGTTTCAGATTCAGGTTATAAACTTAATTGCGCTCATTTACCAAGGTGATCGATTGGTTATTGGTAAGATAATAACTTGACAATTCAAATTGAGGCTCATGATAGAATAAAGACCGAAATAGTTAATCAACAGAAATTATTCAAAACATAACTAGTTAGCTGACATAACAAATATATGTCTTATATAATAATTTTATATAATAATGAAACAATACGTATACGAATCATAAAGGTAATAGATTATATAGTCACATTGTAATACCGGATTATTGTAATAGTCGATCCTATGTTCGCTGACTATTAGCTTTTGAGATACATCGAGTGAGGGCGTCAGACGGACACACTAATACACTTTGATCATACATCTGTCTTCACAATCAAGCAGAATCTCTTACCCGTACACAGATTTGTCTTTATTACACCAAATTGCTGAACTGTCATTGGTATTGAAGGCGTCTTAAACATTATAATTATGCATGGTGTGACTGATTCGATCGTGTGTGACCTGCATAGAAGTCTTTATCTTGTTCACTTATTTCTTAACCCCGACCGATCGGAGACAAGCGGTGTAAAAATGGCAGAAAGTCCAAGCTGTAATCTATTTTTTAATGAAGATTCATCAAGATAGATTAACACGTCCCAGTTTGCGTCATTACAAGGATACGACTGCATAGCTTTGGTAACAGGAAGACAAGTTAGGAAACATTAACAAACGACATTGAAACACCGAATGTGATAATAAATTTGTGAATGAATCCCTACAAGATTATCAATGCTCGAATAAGTTTCGTCAATGTATGTTTTTTGGTGTCTCAAGGATAAACGATTTGCTACCGGAAGTAAATTCCTACAATGGCAATTGATCAACTACAGATGAAACGTCTCATAATGTTGATACACCTATAATTACGAATGGTGATTTTCACTAACCTCATGAAGTAAATAGTTTTTCCCTTTTTTTTTCTTCCGGGTCCGTAGCATTCTTAAATTTTACTTAAATTGGCAGCATGTGCAAAATAATATAAATATTCAAATTTCATCATTACTTTCCTTGGTCCCTCTCCCCAATTTTCTTTTCCTCCTTCTCTCTTTGTTGACGCGCGGCAATAGTCAATCGTCATGGTAGCAGATTTCAGATACTGGTATAACATTGAATGTTGATATCAGAATTGTATATTACATATCATTGTAAAATAACCATAACAATCCTTTGTAACATATATTTCATTTAACAGCGAGTCACGCATAAGCAAAATCATTTACTCATTGATCGTATCAACCTTCACTTTCATCTTGTCCTTCTCTGCTTTTTCATATTAAATCGACAACGAAGATACCCTCGATCATACCAGCAACCACCCTGCTCACGTATCAATTATGCCGGCATATTCAGCATTCCTTGTAATACATATCATATTCGCCGCAGTGGCTATTCCGCTACTCTGCTACTCGTTGTATAAACTATACAGATCAAAACCGTTCAATACAAAATGGACATTATCTCACATCTATCTTACTTCACTGCTAATAACAATATTCTGTCTGCCTACCTCACTCGTACATGGGACTAACTTGTTTGTACTTTCGCCGGCTGACAAAAATACAACCGTTGTAAATATTGCCGATAAAATCCTTCCGGCCCATTCGCCTCTATGTGTGATTCAAGCCCAGGTTCTCTCGTTCCTTCTTTCGCCATATATCCTACTACCTGTCCTCTTGTCTTTCTACACGTTCAACGCAATACGGAAAAATAAAGCTTCTCTCGAATCACAGAGTTTTAAGTATGCAGCTATCGCTATATGGGGACTTGGAGGTGTGATCTTGATTGGAAATATCCTTTCGTGGCATTCTCAAATAACTCAAGAGGAAAACACGCATCATAATCACGACCTTACGAGAAGAAATGAATCTGAGGGAATACAAGCAAGAGGATGGGTATGCCAAGCGCATTATGTTAATAATACGTTTACGTATGTAATTGATGGTGTGTTCTCTTTGGCTTTATTTACTGGTTTAGTCCTTTCAGGTGAGTAATGATTAGTTAGTTGACCATCATCTTATCATGTGATAAAGACCATATACGGTTGGGCGAATTAGTTCCTGAAAGCATATGATACACTGTTGTTTAAAAACGCGCGTAAATGAGAATTCTGATATAATAATGACGTTAACGTGTTGAATTTTTTTTTTTTACCAAATTCAAACCTCAGTCATGTCATTCTCCATGATATTCAGTATCTGGCGGAGACAGATACGAAGACATGCTATTGGATTCAGGTCGGTGATGCAAGAATCTAATCCGGGCAGTTCACGAGTACACGCATACAATATACGTGACTATTACCATAAAATTTATATTTCTTATCAGATTTTTTTAATCTAACATCTCACTTGTTTCTTTATTAAAAAACAGATACTCGATCTGTATAACTTTTGCAACGTTTTTCTTTACCGCGACTCACTTACCGATCTTTATCCTTTCTGGTCTTATCTTCTCCATCGATCCCAACGGGTCGATCATCCCTCGTTCCTTTATTATGTTCTCATCATGCGAGATCCTCGTGGGAATTTACCTCCTTTTGATTCTTGGCGGTACATACGACGGGATGTATAGCGAGGAGAGTGAAGAACTGACTGGGAAGGATGGGTTAGAGGATGGAAGCATTACAGTCAGTGAGCTGAGGTTTACGTATTTCGTGTAAAAACTTGGTCTTTTCAGTATATATGGTATGGGATTTCTGATGCTGATGATACTAACGTCTACTTACTGAATCGGTTCGAGTAATAGTAGTAGTAGCTATTATTGTCTCTTATTTCATCGTATTTCCCAGGTTATTCCTATTTTATCATTCAAATGTCTTTTTTTTTTCCAGTACATTGAACTGTTCTTGTAGATCAAGATCAGATGTAAATTGTTTCATCTTTATCGGACCATCAAACGCACGATCACCCGGTTTTCTCCTGTGTGAAACTTTTGCGAATAAACGATATCAGGTGCTTATGCTCGTGAATAGATAAGGGGTGGGTGGGTTGAGGGCCAGAACCAAACAAGGGATTTATTATGAGACCCTATATTTAAATATACTGTAAATATGATAGCACTATTTAAATTGTTAAACTGCTGAGATAAATTTAGTTCGCGTATTTTACAACCTTTGCCTATGAAACTTCCTCTTTATTTGAACAAGTCTTCCTTATAAATGGTCACTTCCACGCTTAATACTCCCAGAATGTAATTTTTATCATCTGGCTGTAACACCAAATAAGGTTACTCGGTCAGATAAGCCATACCATATATGGATCTAATTAATACTATTTGCGTCATCAATAAGGTGAATCTTAACCGTAACGTGAATCTGAAATGGCGTTATTGTTAAAGTTGTATCTATTACTATAATGTTCTATTTGCAATTGGTGAATATTCCATTACTGCATTGCTTATTGGCTCTTTAACAAATTGCAGACATGGTGAATCACCTGCTTCTATATAACAACAGCGGGTACGGTAAACCAACAACCAACATTCCTTGTACAGCGACTGATTGCATTCGTGGGAAATTGGAATGTAATTAGAGTTAACGCAAAAAACAACAAACATTAAATAAATTAACTCGATACTTTAAAGCATTTATATTCGGCATTGGTTGCAACTAAACCCCCTTATAAAAAAACTAGCCCATTGTTAACGCTCAACCCTTCAGACATCATGTCCATTCCCCATGAATCAACGCGACTTCTCCGCAAACAGAATGATCATCAACGCCATCGGGTCCGTCTTCCCACCGAACTCTTATACCTGATAATAACTCACCTCTCAACTCTTCCCTACCCCGAAAAAACTCTCTATGCGTGTGCACTTTCGACGCGTGAACTCTGTCTTTACACAATTCCTTTTCTTTGGTCACAGCCTTTCAACTACGCGTCGAGAGAGAACAATTACAAAATCATAGACGCGTATCTGAGCTTTTTCACCGACGAAGAAGACTACAATCTTGACCCAGAGGTACCCATAGTCAAAAGGCACACTCCTTTGTTTCCCTATGCGTCTTTTTTAAAGAGCTTGGAGTTTTCGAATATGATTGCGTCGGTCATGAGCTGGTGCCAGAAGGAGGGAGTTCGAGCGAGATTGGACAGTTTGAGTGTGACTGAGTTGGCTGAAGGGAATAGTGACACGGATCGAACGGATAATGCTGACGAGGATAGTCTGTTTGATGCCAGAACCTTTCTGCGCGAATACTATCGCGTGCGAAGAATCGAGGAACAAGTAACCCACGGGCTATTGCTACACTTTATCAAGAATAATGCTAAAATCCATACTCTCCAGATCATTGGACCAGAAATGTCCTATGGGTATCACGTGATGCTTATGGAGCCAGAAATAATGAACTTGTTCGAGTCATTAAAGACAATTGAAGTAGCGAGCGATGGTGATGACAGCGACGATAATGAGAGGAGTGAATTGATAGATGAATTAATTTTAACTTGTAAAACACGGTAAGTAACCAAATAAATTTGTAAAGGTTTTTCGCTTGATAAAAAGTTGAGAAGAGTTTTTAACCGTCATGTGTGAACCGTTAATATTTTGTAATAATAGTGATCATGGCGAATAGTGTGTATACTAATAAAATCCATGTAAATAATCGAGCATGCTTAGAGATAGTATTCCAATTATCTTTATGCAAAATAATAAATAGCAATTGTATCGACACAAAGACAATGTTGATATTGTACACGTAATCCAAATAGTTAGCACTGGTTTATGAATTGGGAGATTTTACTCACTATGTTGAATATTCTCACACCATAACTACTACTAATCGAGAAGGTCAAAAATCAGTAATCATAGCCTTAATGAAAAGAAGCTGTTGCAATTGGCTAAAGGGACTACACATCTGTGAAGGTTCCATCATTGTAGGCACTTTGAATATGCAAGTAATAATAGTAATAATCATGAACATGGTTAATTTAGCTTATTGTCTTTTTTTTCTTCTCAGTTTTCTTTTTCGACAATCATACGAGTAGAAATCGCAATCTCATCCATACTTTCATTCAGTAGTTTGTTCGGTTTCTCAAACAGTTCCAGTGTACGTATGCCAAGACTATTCGCCGTTTATTATTATCAGTTAAGTTCCTGGCTCTTTTCTAATTTTGTGGCTCCCGGACAGTCCGTTTCCAAGCCGTTTTTTTTTTCATCGTATCATAGTTGCATAAGGAAATATATTTTCTTGCTTTCTCACTTAACTGGCTATAATTGTCTTGACCGGATTAATAGTTTTCACCTTCTTTACTGGTGGGTAGATCAGTAGATCTTTCAATCATCGGGTAAACTTATTAATATCGAGTCTTATTCGTAGCACTTTATTGGAACCGACTTCGCGACAATCAAGATCAGGATTTCACCAATGTCAACTCTACCTCTACAACCTTCCGTAACCTCATCTGCGTCTCCGCCGCCACCTGCATCACCTCCACCACCTGCATTGTTACCGTCACTAGACGCTGCTTCTGCAGACGCCTCTACAGAGAATCTTTCTGCAAATGAACCGATTGAAGCTGAACGTCGCCTTCAAGAATTATTTGAAGACCCACTTCTCTCGGATTTGCCGCCAAATATAACCATACAGGAAGTAGACACACTTATTGCCCTTGAACTTGGAACAGCATTTGAAATCACAATTGAGCGAAATGGGTTGGAGGATTTAGGTGAGATTATGTTGAAAGTATAATGAACTAACTAATATTCATGGCAGGTCTAGTTAATATACTGATACAGGACTGTTGTAGTTTTGATCGTTCGCCAGAATGCTACTGTATATGACTTGAAGTGTATGATTACAAGTAAGATTGAAAGAGAGGTTAATGGAGATCAGCAGACGCATGACCAAATTATTGAAATAAAGCCTCAAAAAAGGAAGCGAGTGATTAGTTGGTAAGGAAACTGGTGACTATGCTATTGATTTATTAGAAAGATTTGATTGATTTTATTACCTGTTTAAATATTTTCCACTATTAGGAAATATATTTGGAATTCTTATTGTTTAACGTTTCAAAACCAGAAACTGTTGAATGACAGAGCAAGAATACAAGAATTTGGAATCAAAAGCGGGAGTGTAATCAAATTTACAAGATATATCAGGGAAAAAAGACGTTTACCGGCTAGATAGGGGAGGAAAGCCGATTGATGTGTTAAAACGTGCTGCTACTAGACCTGGTATTTTGTCTGTTGACCTGTGACTTTCGTATAGTAATATGCGACGGACCGTTTCTTGAGGGCCGCAAGTATTATATTGTATTAATACGTAGTATGGTTGTAGAATAAACCTGACTTGGGACTGTTTACATAGTGTCTGTGTTGACACTGATGTCAGCTGAATAATTAAGAAAACTTAAACTTGTACTAACTGAGTTTTGACTTTTAAATAAACTTTTTGAATGGGGAGAGAGTAATCCAATTAATTAAACTTACCAACCTCAGATATGGAGGTTGGCATAGAGTAACTCAATCCACTGAATACCATAGTCCCAGCTTACTTTTCATTTAAAAGACATAATCATTTCGAGATAAGAATTTACTTGTTAATAATTTATCAAGAATAGAATTATCAAAGACTCTACAGTACTCGCAGAATCAAAAAAAATCAGTTCTGAAAACCGTGTGATACTTCCGAGGACCCGACCTGAATTCCCGGCCAAGGCTGGCAAGTCCACTGTCCTATCCGTCACGACCACCACACCGAGCCAATAATTAGGTGAGCAAATAGGTGAGGAATTAATGAACGAAGTGGAAAGGAAAATTCACTTTGTTTTATCTTTAAAGAATTAAAGATTTAGAAAATACGGAGGGTTAGATAAAATTAATTGCCCATCTTTGGTATACTATTAGACACTGCCTGAACATCTCATGCAAGATTAACATTCTGAAACTTTTTATTCTGGGAAACAGGAAATGTCACAAGAAGCCAGATCTAAACCTGTAGAAAGGATGTATTAATTAGACTTTTTCTTTAAGTAACTATTAACAACATAATAAGTGTTTTTATATAGAATTCTTCATACGTT